AAATCATGTCTTTCTTCTGCTCAAAATCTTTCAATAAATATTTCAAATAAAAACTAAAATTCTTATATGTGGCCTACAATGAAGAACACAAATTCAGAGACAGTCAAATTAGTATTCAAACAGAGGACAAAATAGAGAGTAAACATGCAATGCTTTAGGGAATTTATAACCCTTAGAGATGTTCTGGATGTATTATTCACAAGCATATTCCAGTTGCACTAGGAAAAATAAGAGCAAAAAGACAACACTGGATATAAATAAAAGGTTCAAGAAAGAAAGAAGTAAAGTATACAATTAAATAGCTATGCTACTAAATTTATGATTAAATTTCATTTATAAGTGGAAGAAAAATTTCAAGGTAATTACAGAATAACAAGACTTTTCTGTGTGTAGGGGTTACAGTAGTATATGTTAAAACTTTAAAAATTTTAATGAAATGCTACTAATGCTCATTAATTCTAGATATATAAAATATTAAAATATATGATTTAAATGGATACATGTAATTACCAGAAGAATATAAATAGAATGTATGACTTTTTATAAAGCACATATTAAGGTTCAGTGGTTCATGTCTGTAATCCTAGAATTTGGGAGGCTGAGGCAAGAGAATCTCTTCAAATTAGAGGTCAGAACAGACTAGACAGTGAGTGCAAGGCCAGCTATAACTACATAGTGAGAGCCTGTCTCAAAAAACCAAAAGAAAAAGACAAGCAAGGAACTAAGAAAATTCAACCAAAGAAGAGGAAAGGATTGATACTATTTACTACTGGGGACTAATATTAAAACAAACATTTATGAAATGAAGTTATGAGAACACAATCAAACATATGATCAATAAAAATAAGTGAATGTGTTCATTTTGTGATGTATTCAGAATTTTTATATTTTAAAAAATTAATGCATGTTTGTAATATAGTTAAGCTTGTTTCAGGGAAACAGCAAAAGCATATAACATATATGGATCATTTCTAATCTCCTTGGCCCATTCTTCTTAACCCATATAAGAATCTACCTTCTAGTTTTCTTCTAGGATCTTTATTTTATTCATTCATTTACTTATAATTTGAGAAAACATGAGATATTTAACTTTCTGATTCTGGTTTATTTTCTGTACTGTAATTGTCTTCATTTCCATCTATATTAATGCAAATGACCTGACTTGGTTCTTCTTCATGAATGATATTCCTATAGGAATATTATTGAATATTCCTATGAATAACATTCCCATATTATTGAATAATATTCCCACATTAACTAAAGTGTATTGTGCTGCTATACGCATGGGCAAGCATGTTTCACGATAGAGTCTTTAGGTATTTCAAGAATATAGCCAGGATGGGCTGGGGATTTAGCTCAGTGGCACAAGTGCCTGCATGGAAACTATGAGGTCGTGAGTTCCATTCTTGGTGAAAAAAAAAAAAAATATATATATATATATATATCTCCAGAATTGGTTGAATGAAATTTCTACTTTTATTTTTTGAAGTGTGTTCATTGCATACTGATGTCCATATTGGTTATACTAATTTCCATTCCCATCAACAATCTAGAAGTGTTCCCTTTCTCCCTCAGCAGTTCCAGTATGTGCTGTCAAGATCTTGATGATAGCCATTCTGACTAGAGTATATCAGAACTTCAGTGTTGTTTTGATGTATACTTTTCTAATGGCCAGTGATGCTGCACATTTTCCCATGTATTTACTCACCATTTATACTTTTGAGAAGTGTCTATTTTAACTGCTCATGTTAAAAATTGAACTGTTTTTGTTTTTAGATTTATTCTTTTGAGTTCCTTATGTATTCTAGATACTATCCCTCTGTACTAGGGTTAGCTAATGACATATTTGACCCAGTCTATAGATTATCTTATCATTATGTTAATTCTTGTGCTGTAGAGAAGGTTTTTAAATTTGTTGTAATGCACTTGCTGATTTCAATAAAATGGGTTCAGGTGTTTTCCCAATGTTAACTTCCAAAATTTTTAAAACTTCCATTTTAATATCTAAGTCATTAATTCATTTTGATTTGAGTTAGCACAGGGTGGGAGATAAGACTTTATAGTTTCAGTCTTCTTTAAATGGGTATTCAGTTTCCTGTGTACCATTTGTTAAAGAGATTACACTTTTTACAAAGTGTTTTTGGTTCCTTTGTTAAAATCAGATGACTGTGTGTACACATATGGTTTCTGTGTCTTTTGTTCTATTTCATTGGTCTGCATGTAAGTTTTTGCACCAGTACCATGTTTTGTTATCACAGTTTTGCAGTACAACGTAAATTCCGGTATTGTGATGTTTCTGCTTTTTCTTTTTACGCTCAATATTATTTTGACTAATCTGGGTCCTTTCTGATTTCATATATAGTTTAAGATTGTGAGAAATGCCTTTATTATTTTTAGTAGAGAGTCCCTTAAATCAATAGATCTTTATCATTGTACTGCAATTTTCATAATATTAGTGCTTCTAACAGAAGAATAAGGGACGTCTTCCCATCTTCTAATGTTCTCTTCAATTTTTATCTTTAGAGTTCTGTAATTTCCATTGTAGTGGGGTTTAACCTTCTTGGATAGGTTGATTCCTAAATATTTAGTATTTTTCAACTTACTGTGAATGGAAAGTTTCCCTGATTTTTTCTTACTGTGTCTCTTATTCTTGTTCAGGGATGCCATTGTTCTTTGCATGTCAAGTTTGTGTTCCACTTTGCAGAATTTGTCAGACATAAAAGTCTTCAGATCAAGTGCTTTAGGTATTCTACATAAAGAATCATATCATCTATAAATAGAAATAATTCAACTTTTTTCTTTCCTATTCATATTCCTTTTATTTTTTTCCTTTGCTGAAGTTTCAAGTACTTACTAAACGAGGCTTGTGAGAATGGGCACTTTTGTTTCATTCCTGATTTTAGAGGAAATGAATTCAGCCTTTCCTTATTCAGTATGATGTTGGCTGTGTATTTATTAGATGTGGCTTTTATCAATTTAAGGTACTTTTTTTTATACTTTTCACCAGAGGTTTTCCTTCTGAAGAGATATTGGATTTCGTTGAAGATTTTTCATTGTCTATTGAGATAATCATGTGGATTTTTAGTCTTGTTTCTATTTATGTTGTATATTACATTTATCAATTTATGTATGTTGAGTCATTCTTATATCCTAGGATGAAACTCACTTGGACATAGTGAATAATCTTTTCACTGAGCTGTTGAACTCTGTGAGACTTTTATTGAGAATTTTTGCATCTATGTTCAAGATACTATGTTGGCCTGTGGTTTTTTTCTTTTTCCTTTCTTCTCTCCCTTCCTCCTTTTCTTCCTTGTACTGCCTTCATTCCTTATTTCCCTCTTTTTCTTTCTTTCTTTCTTTTCTTTTTCTCCTTCCTTCTTTTCTGCCTCTGTGTGTACCTCACCCTCTCTCTCTAGAGCCTCTCTCTTTCTCCCTTTCCCTCTCTCTCTCTCTCTCTCTCTCTCTCTCTCTCTCTCTCTCTCTCTCTCTCTCAGCAGTCCTCCTGCCTCCATCTCCCTAACACTGAAATTTACAGACATGCACAACTATGCCCAGGTTGCCCAGTTATTTTTATCGGTGTGTTTTAAACCTTAATGTTCCAGTGTTGCTATTTGGTGTTGTTTCATTTCAATTTGAAGAACTTCCATCAGCATTTCTTGTAGAGTAAAATCAGTGATGATAAGTTCCCTCAGGTTTTGTTTGTCTGAGAAAGTCTCTATCTTTTCTTTATATATGAAAGACACTTTTGTTGTCTCACTCAAACTTTTTTATTACGTTGAATATATTATCCCACTATCTCTTGGCCCACCAGATTTCTGCTAACAAATTCAAAGTGTCATGAAGCTGTCTTGTGTGTGACAAGTCACTTTTCTTTTGCCACTTTCAAAGTTGTATTTTTTATTTTTTAAAATTTTATTGTAAGTTTCTTGGTAGAAATAACTTGATGGTCAGCCTGTTTGGGGTTTTTGAATATTATGGCTCTGAGCATTTATTTCTCTAACAACTTTCAGTTGTTATTTAAATAATTTTTTTCTCTGATCCTTCTGTATCACCTATAAGACATTTATTCTTTTGGTTCATAGTGTTTTATAAGTTATATAAATTTTCCCTGTGGTTCTTCTTTTTATTCCTTTGGATAATTCGAGGCGCTACTTTTTACTTCTGTATAACTGAATTTCTCATTCAGCTCTGAACTGAGTTTTGGGGTGGAACACAAAAAACTTGGAGCATCTGTAAGAACTGACCACATATTAAACAATAAAGCAAATATCAACAAATTTCATAGCATGAGTATTTTATAGATTCTTATCTGCTAACATATTTTAAAGTTACAAACTAAAACAAAATGTAACTCATATTCAAGTATTTAATATTAAAGGACACATTTCTATGTATTTTTGAGTCAAAAAAGAAAGTATAGTGAAAGTTACAGTATTTGAAAGACCACTTTTAAAACTTAACAATGCTCTCTCAAAATCATATTGGCAGTCTTAGTCTCAAGTAGAATGGGAAGATAAATTAACAGTATACTTATTAAAATGGATAACAAATAAAGAAAAACCACAGATTTATAGTTCAAGACATTATATTTTCACAGTTCTATACACTGTAATTTTTAAAAAAGAGTTGTCTTTAGTTTGAATCCTACGCAGATCAAGTATCATTGCCTAAAGCAGCAAATAGAATGTCATATTTTAAATTATCACTTGAAAGCTTTCAGAGACAGTCTTATTAAAATATATACGAAGAAAAATATAGCTTAATAACACCTTCACTAGAATCCCCGAGGACAAAAAATATGTTTGTCTCTTCTAGTGTTATAGCTTCAATATTCAGCACATGGCAAGGGGCATGGTAGGTATTCAGTTCAGTGAGCTGAATTAGATCTACGGATGACACAAACATTTTCATTGAATTGAATCAATTAGTTTTGGTTTAGGAACTAAAACCTGAGCAACTAACTTAACTGTCTCATTAACTAAACTATTAAAATTGATTACCTGAATCCAACATTAGAGTGAAGAGCAATATTCCAGTATTCACAATGCAGACGTTGCTTATTCATTGGATTATGAAAAACTAAAAGCAAAGAATTGTCTTGGGTATAGTAATAAGAATCTACACACCGATACTGCTGATAAGCCTCTTGAAGAACCTGAAAAATCAAAATAATTGCATCATTTATTCTTTTCCCCCCAAAACAACAGTCTCTTTGTAGCACATATCTCTGCTTCCTGTCACTTCTTCCTTAATTTTTGCATTGCTTGTATTTTGGAATTCTCAGAAGATCCTTCCCAACTCCTCAAAATTGAGTGAATAAAAGGCATATTTCATGAGCATTTTGGCAGCTCTTACATGAAAACACACAGGTATTCGTGAAAAAATTCTTCGTTAAGTTTGGTAAACAATAATGAAATCAATTACTTAGTGATTTTATCACTATAAAATTATATATATATATATATATAATCATTATAAGAAGAAAAATCAGAGCATTTGTTCTCTCTCTGTGATACAAGCTAGCTCAGCAAGATGTTATCCTTGAGTAGATCTGTCTCCAACCTTCCAGAACACCAAGAAAATAAATTTCTGTTGTGTAAACCACTCAGTCTGTTTTCTGATGGCATTCTGAGATGTGGAAGACAGTAGGTGAGATTACTTTCCCCAGTGTGTAATGAGCTTCCATTTTTCAGCATAAACTGGAATAGAGAGATGATGAGGCACTTGCCCAAGAACTGCCTTCCAACACTGGTTCTTTAAAAAATAGAGCAGCCACGGCTTACAGTGCAATGGTAGCCACTGACAGATCGGCACATTGGGCAGGCACTTACGTGTTTCTTTTACACTGCTAATTAACAATGAGGAAATTACCCGCAGGAAAATGAATAGGAGAACTGTGGGATTTTGTTTTTGTTTTGCTTTTGGTATCAATCTAATCTATTAATCTGTATCAGTATGAAGAGTCAGCTTTTGGTTTTGTATTCTTTGAATTATTACTCTTTGCTTTCATTTGTAAACTGGTAGCACAATCTAGGTACTCTATTTACCCTTCCAATCTATTTTTCTGTATGCATCCCTTTATGAGGGTACAGATTTTATAATCTATCCCCTGAGAGCCAATACAAAAAACATACACTTGGTAAATACCTTTGCAATTTAAAAAATTACTATGTAGGGCACCATCCATTACTGAGTTTTTATTTTTTAGGTCATATTAGGAAATGAACTCAGGCCTTTTACACTAAGCTATATCTCCCACCCTCTTTTAAACTTTTTATTCTGAGACAGAGTTTCAGTTCACTAAATTGTGACCTGTGATCTAGAGCTTGTGATTCTTTTTCTCTGCCTCCTAGAGGTCTGGGATTATAGGTCTGTACCACAATGTTCAGTTTTTACTTTTTTGAAATGCAAATTCTTCTAAGACTGTATAGCTAGACTACAAATTGTGTTTAATTATGATTACTATATTTCCCTCTGTTGGATAATAAGAGTTTTTCAGTGTTTGCTGTCATGGCTTATGTCAGTGGCCCCCAGGCTTCATGCATTTGCATTGTGCATTTGTGATTGGTTCATTGTCTAGTGCTTGGATTTGGGGTGTGAGTGCTACACTGGCCTGGGGTGCAGCCAGGGTGTGATGTAATGGCAAGAAGAAGGTGTGTCTTGCTGTTTTGCCAGTTTCTGCCTTGTTGTTTGCAGCTGCCATGAACTGTGGACCTGCCACGCCACCCTTCCTGGGAGCCAACTGAGTATGGACTGAAACCTCCAACAACTATAAGAAATAAACCTTTCCTTTCCCAACTTTGGGCATCGGGTATTTTGTCTCAGCAACAAGTAAAAAGTAACTAAGACATTTGCGTTTTCATATTTGCTTTGTCTGCAGAAAATACAGCACTAAATTACACAGAGGTACAGTTGCTCTTAATCAACATTTGAAAAGGATTTGCTACATATCTCATCTTTTTATTAATTAACTTTTATCCTTTATTGTTTGTTAATACTGTTGGTCTCAGTTAGTCAATTATTTCATTAAGAATGCATTCCTGTCTGAGCTAGGGAAAATTACATACTGGGATCAAAAATCAACAGGATAGATTGAATTTACTTCTGATTTGATTAAAATTTGTATAGATCATTCTGCAGATCAGATTAAGTTGATGGAATATCTGATATGTAAAGCATGCTTTGGAAGACAGTAAGAATGGAAGCAGGCTGACAATTAGGAGGATATTAGTAGAAGAAGGCAATGTTAGCCTGCTGAAAGTAGTAAGAATGGGAAGATTACTGTCTTTAAAGTCTTTAGTAGTTCTGCTCGCCAATCCCCTGGACGGTTCAGAGTGGTCAGGCTTTTCTCTGTCTCCCACTTCAGAAGAAGGGAAATAAAAATGGCAGGTGAGTAACGGGTTCTAAGAACAGGGAGCACTGGGCACCGCTGCCCGGTAGAATCCCAAAGAGGGAATTGTGGAAAAGTCTTAATCAGAACTACCCAGTAGAAATGTAATGTGAGTCGCAAATATGAACCTCATGTGTGATTCTAAATTTATAGTTTCTACATCTTAAAAAGGAAAAAGAAATGGGTACAGTTAATGTCAATGATATATTTAGCTCCATATATAAAAATGCTATCGTTTCAGCATGTAACTGATATAAAATTATTAATGGGACATGTCAGTTTTTATAAGTCCTTAAAACCCAGGATATGTAGTGCTCACACAGCTACTTGCAAAGTGACTAGCCCGCTTACGGAACATCTCATTTTTGACAAGTTCCATTTTAAGATTGATGAATCCACATGTGACTAATGGCTACTGGATTGGACAATGCATATGTAGCTACTGACCGCCAGAAGCATTCCCATTCCTTCTTTGTCCCTAAATCCTAAAGGCAAGTTTATGTCTTCTTCCATTGACAAATCTCCATGGCCCAAGAAAACAGAACTAATACTTCCACACCAGTGGGTTTCCCAAGGAAACCACTCAATCAGAGCACCCATCTATTAAGTACAGATATTGATGTTAACCATACAGTACTTCTCAGAATATTTTCAGTGTATCATCATTAATAACGAGAAAAAAGAAAAATGTTGGATATGAAAAATGGAGAACAAGAAATCTAAACCTGCCGCTCTTCCCAGAAAAGGCAAGCAAGAGAAAAGAAACAAAAGAGAGGCAATTTAGGATAGGAAGAGAACAACTTTAAAGGACTTCAATAGATTCATCCAAATAAGAGAAGCTGTTGTATCAGAAATGTGAAATTACCTTATAATAAGATTACTTGAAATTATAAATAGAAGACTTACTGTAAGTTCTTAATGTTTAGATTGGAACTGAGTAGTATTTTTTTTAAACAAACAACAATGAAAAAGTGTAATAGTGAAAAAGTTAGAAGAGGAAAGCAGGAATTGGAAGTTTAGGCCAAGAGTTTCAACACCAGAATCAAAAGAGTTGCAGGAAGAAAGAGAGAGAAAATGTAAAGGATAGGGTGGGTGTTTATCAAAGAAATGCTTGTAGGACATTTCCCAGAAAATAAGACAGCAGTTTCAGGATTACTGGGCTTACCATAACAACACACAGAAAGAGAACTAAAGACTAGAACACTGGAACAAAAAGAAGATTTAGAATTTCTAGAGAAAAGAAAAAAATATAATCAAACAACTAATCAGAATTCAGAATCTCATGTTTTTCTTCTTAAGAACAATCTGTGAAAGGCATAGAACTTTTGAGAAATGCTTTTAATATGCCAGAGGAAAATTCGTTTTAACTTAGCATTTTATATAAAGCCTAACTGACAGTTACTATAAGCATAGAATTAAATTGGTTTGAAACATTCAGTACCTCAAAATTTTTCCTGCTATAAATCTTACGTAAAGAAGCTAGTGGAAGGAGATGGTCCTCTCCAAAAAAGAGAATAACCAACAGTGACTAACTGGAAAGAGGAAGGGCATCAGAGCTGCACAGCAAGCTTAGAGAATCTGGCAAGGCATCCTTAAGATGATAATGCTGATAGAACATCTATTATGCTCGAATGTACTGAGAGGAGAGTTTAGGAAAGAGTCAGCTATAAATTCACAGAAGACTAAATAGAGGGAAAGGACAGGTATGATTCCAGTACAAACAGAAGGAAACATAATCACACAATTTTGTTGTGAGTAGTATTTACATAACAAAAAATAAAAAATGGAACATTGATTTAACCAAACATTGTGATACAATTAACAGTGCTGGGATTGGAGACCTGCAAGAGTGAAAGTAGATGTGTGTGTGCGTGCGTGTGTGTGTGTGTGTGTGTGTGTGTGTGTGTGTGTGTGTGCTGAGTGGGCAGGGACAGCGCTTCTTCTCAAATGGGAGTCAATGGATAATGATGGCCAAACATTACACTAAAATTTACCTGTATTTAAAGATAACAAAATAATAAAAGAAACAGGCAAGTACATTGGAGATTTTTGTGCCTGGGAATTGCTGGACGGTAGGGTAGAGGTAGAGGCTGCTGGGTTTCACCAGATTCTGTAGTATCTCTGGCTTCAAAAACAGGTGACGTGAAACATAAAAATAAATTTCAAATTAAGACAAAACCAAGAGAGTACACTGTTTTTGCACAAAAATCTAAAAACAACAAAGACTTGGCTTTAGCATTACTCGTTATTTTACATAGGGTTTAAAAGCCCAAGTTCTGGGACTGGAATTCCTAGGTTTACATTCTGTCTCTCACTTAGCAGCCTTGTCACTGAGCAAAAAAGTCGTTTGGTCAAGGCAGTTAAAATTCAGCTGTTTAGTTTCTGTGTCACAGAGGTGCTGTGAGTGAGTAATACATATCAGACACTGCGTACCACATGGTAAGTGCTCCATAAATGCTAGCTTTATTGACCTATTAATCAAATCAGAGAATATGAAATGTAATGAAAACTAAATAGAACGAATAGGAAATATGGAAAAGAATGGGGCTGCTTCCCTTACTTTGTTCTGAAAACAGTCTTACTTTTCAAAGGAAATATGGCAGTAGTGTTGTGCATCCTTTTAGAAAGTGTGTTTTAAACTATTTTGGAGATTTCCTGGGAATGTGTAGTTCAGTCTGGGAATAAACTCATTTTATTGCTGAAGTAGGTGGCAATATTGATCTGCACTGCACTTGAGAGAGTGACCTAGAATTGAACTGTTGTAAATCACAGACTGACTCTCCAGACCTGTCCGATCGTCTCCTGAAGAATCGCAGCCCATAAATACCTGAAGCAGTACTTCTGGTTTAAAATGTTCAGTGTAACTCCAATCCATTAGGCTGCGCTGCTGTGTGTTCTTTATGTCCTCTAAATTTGCTTCCACCATCATCTTCTTGGGTTTCTAAAAAATCGCAGGAACACACTTTCAGCTATAATTTGTTTCAGTCGGAATGAAGTCCTCTTGGACTCTGACAACTAACCAGCATGCACTCCATTTAATTGGGGAAATCTGCATATGTATACAACCATATGGCAACATTTTAGGAGAGCTGCTGCCAGAAAGAGTAAGCCTTTGACTTTTTTTTATGGGCAACATAATCTAAATATTTTTATTGTTAGGTTATACTCTTCAGAGTCCTGTTAGCAATTATAGGCAGGTTTTCTGAACTCACTTCAAGACGATGTTCGTTCTACATGGCTGTATGGTCAGCAGGTGTTTGTGAGGTTGCCAAGCCACACTGTCTAGAGAGGAGCAAGGAGCTGAGAAGTTTTGTTTAAGCTGGCTTGGAAGATTAACCCCTTTGTCTCCAGCTGAAGCTGTTCTAGGAAGTCTGAGTAAGCCCTCCTCTTTAGCATCAGCCCTTTTCTTTTAAGCACCTCTCCTGACTTCTCTCCCCCTCCTCCGTCCCTCTCTGTCTCTTTTGAATGTTTCTCAATCTGGGTCATGGTTTTCTCAGATCATCTGACTTGTCATCTACACTTTTTAGGAAAATAATTCCTTACCTTTTCAAGAGAATCAGCCTTTGTGACTGCTTTATCTTTGATCTCATTGTTCGTGCTTGGATCTGTAAATCAAAGACACCAACATCCAGTTGTGTTCAGGCTTTGTTCTTGCTTTTGGTCAGTGCTGAGCCTTTTTGTTGCCCATATGATCTATGTTTCTGTGCTGAAAGGGTAATTCCTGAAAGGCATGTTTCATGCCTTCAAAAAAGGTGTTTGTGTCAATAATTCTAAATCCATACCAACCTAGGAAAGTTATACTAAACTCTCTGAAAAGAACCTAGCTTCTTATCTGATGTACACTAAATCATATCACAGATTTTGATTTCAGGCTGTTACTCAGTTCTACAATGTATAATTTTCTTTTATGAATTGAAAATATTTACTGATTAAACTGTACCAACTTGCCCTGTATACGTTGTTTGTTTTGTGCTGGTGATTGTCACGGAGCTTTTTCTGTGTCTCTTCCTGGTGGGTGATGGACTAGGGACTAGGGCAGGGGCAGGGATGTATGGGAAGGAGTACAAATGAATAAATGCACCACCTACTAGAAAATAATGCTATTTACCATTCTACAGAGTTCTTCTTCCACTCATCATTCATTTGTTAATTAAAACTATTTAATGAGCACCTGAAGGTTTGCAGGTAGAGTTTGATAAGAGTTAGTTAAATGAATAAATGAACTGCTGCACAGCACCGAGCCATGGAGCCAGTATGAGATATGCAGATCAGCCTCCTTGTGATCAAAGAGTATATTTATATGATGACTGGGGCTGTAATTTCATTGACTATCTGAATCATCGGAATAAACTATCAGGGAACACTCATCCTGTTGTTTTTCTGTGTCGCCAGAAAAGTACTGGATATTTGGAAACACACTTCAATGATGCTGAAGAGTGGAGTCAAACTGATTTCTTTTGACTCTTAGAATAACTAGAAATTAGATCCTACAAAGTGTTTCATAAAATGGCTGCAGTCTTACTGTCTGAAGGCAACTCAGTGCCAACTCTGGTTCTTTCCACCTCAGACAGACTGCCTGGTTCTGCCACGTCTTTGGGTTTCACACTTGCCTTGCATTCTCTGTTCACAAATACTCAAGGTACCATTGTTGCCTTTACTCTGTTTTGTTTTTAACCATAGCAAGTATCAGTGCTTGACACTATGTTTTAAAAGATCCTAATTTTTACCCTATATTCGAGAAGGGGGAAAAAGCAAGTTCACTTGTTTATGGTTTTATCTACGATTTATCTTGCTTTCTTCACTGCACCCTGAGCGCCAGCATCTTGCAGGAACTCAGTAAGCTCTTTTTCTTTTGAGTGAATGCAGGAAATATCAACACATGTTGAAACTAGAAATACAGGTAGAGAAAGACAGAGAAAAAGAGAGAGAGAGAGTTGAAGACGAACACCTGTAATAAGGCTTGTTATGGGGTAAGGACAAGATTTAACTTTTCATCCTATGGCAAAAAGAACCATATATGAACTTCCCTAGATGACTTAGTCACATAGGAATAGTTCATTATTCTTTCTTACAGAAGCACAATTACTTACATTTTCCCTACTGGCTCCATCTTGACTTGGACTGTGATAGTGACAGCACAGTGTTCCGTTTTGACAGAGAGGAAAACTGTAACGTCAGTTTTAGCTCAATATTTATATAAAGATATTCACTCAAGAGAAAACTCAGGCCAACTATAACTCTAAATAGACCATGGTGTCCCCTGTGTCCTTGAAGCAATTGATATGAAATCTGTGGAATAAAAATTATTCTGCTCTATGGTCTGCCAAATTTCCTGGAGATTTGATATTCCCTCTTGTGTCTAAGAATCCAGCAGAAAATGTCTCTAGTTTAGAAAATATATTCTAAAAAATTATGCATCCGTTACTTTGTCAAAGGAAAGAACATCCTAATACTAATCTGAACTCATTGCGGAGGCCTAAAAATCACTTTTTTTCTTTCTGTCTGATTTGTGCCTTCAACCACATAATCCTTTGACAGTGTGATTCAGTAGTTTTTGACACATCTGGAAGTGGATGCTTTCTCATCTCTTTGAAAAACAGCTTTCTTAATCTGTTTTACTTTAGAGATAACAAGATCCCTCTGCAAAACAGTTACTTTATTAAAAAAACACCCAACAAGCATAAAGGGCACATCGAAACCTATAGCCTCATGGTTATCAACTCTCAGGTTTTTCATAAATATCCAATAGGCCCTGTCAAGTTCAAAAACAGTCTCAGATGGAAATCCAGTTTGGTTAAGAAAAGCACAAATATTCAGCCCTTCATGTCCAGGAACAGTCATATAAATGTATTTGATGGTAAAATAGCTGTGCAGGAAATACATGAATGATTCGTGCTGTGTTTAAAGAGAATTAAAGCGGCTGCTTTTGAAGTAAGAGTTAGGGAAAAATGTAGGACCAGCAGCAACAAATAAAACCCTCATACACAGAATGGTCACAGGGAAACATGAAGCCCCAGGTCCAAGCCTATCGATGTTTACTGGCATTGTTCAGCTTTGGGGATATAGAATCTGGGATTTAAATATGAAGATTTAGGAACCAGGATCCATAACACCAATTTATGTGGTTTGACCACCAGGTGGCAAAAGTTGCCTGAAGAAAACTCTAGACCAGAAGTTAAAAGAAACAAAAAACAAAACAAAACAAAAAAACCAAAAAAACAAAACCCAAAAAACAAAAACAAAAACAAAAAACCAATGAAACAAAACAAAGAAAGGGTCCTGGGGCCTTACATCTCTGTTTATCCTGGTTTCATATTTACTGTGTGCCTTCTTTGCCATATATTTATGCTCCCACAAGATGTACTAGTGTCTCAACAATGTAACGAATTCAGGTTAATTTATTTTGTTTAATTCATGGTAGGGTGAGCTAGGCTAAGAGGTAAGTCATACCCTGGGCAGAGAAATATGGAATATACTTTGATGGAAAGGAAAAAACAAAAGGCAAGAAAATTAGATAAGAATCAGCATGTGAAAAGAACTGTAAATATGGCCAAATCACTGGATACATCAGAAGAAATTTCTGCAACTGAGGAAGCCAGAAGACATAATGGAGGAAATTTGTTTGCGATTCGCCCTCATATCGGAACCTCTACTGATTCTTGGCTGAAGCTGTTATTTAGCCTCTCTTTAGGCTTGGTTTCCTCATATGCAGAATTGAGATGAAAGCATTTTAATTATAGGCTTGGTCTTTATATAAAGTATTGATTAATATACATAAAATACTTTGGAATAATGCTTTGGAGAGAGTAATTATTAAATCAGTGGGGTGTTTTGTTTGTTTCTGTTTCCTTCACTTATCAGTTCTACTCAGGCAGCTTTTTCTTAATTTTATTCCATTGGTTACCTCTTCTACTCTCATCTAAATTAAAGTGATTGGGTAAATATTAGTAAATGTTCACTTGACGACTATTGTGGCTCTTACTATTTACTTTTGAAGCACTTTTTAAAAATTGTAAAATAAAATACAGAAACACGTATATTGTACTCTCGAATAAAAATAATGCCTTGAGATAAAGAGGAAGAGGAATGGAAGGCGTGTTCACTGAGCACTGATTTTGTGCTAAGCTCTACACTAAGCATTTCATTTTGTCATTACAAGTGATTTAAGAACTAATCCTAGCAACCATGTATAGTGCACACTGGTAGCCTGAGACAGGAGAATTAGAAATTTTGGCTGATCCTGGGAAACTTACTAAAACAGTGTCACAAGATAACAAAATAATGAAAGGCTGAGATTATATAACTTAATGTGAAGGTCCTGAGTTCAGTCCCCAATAGCACACACACAGACACAAACACAAATCTCAGCATACAATCATGATAACTCTGTGAAATATTTATAAAGAAATTTTAATGATGTTCACTGCACTCAATTTCCTAAAGGGTAGACTACAAGACACTAGGATGTTTTGGGAAGAAAAGGCTAAACAAGGCAGACATACTGAAAAATAACACTCAGTAAAAAGTTTAAATAAACAAGCAAATTAGATGCTACATGGTTTTCCAATTAAAATAAGTATGAATTTAAATTTAGCGCATCTTGAAACTTCTTTTTTTTGTTTATTCATGTTATAACAGTGTCTACATACACACCTTTTCTTGAAGGCTCTGGTTGAGGCTGAGTCTTCACACCGCCTTCCTCCTCTAAGAGCTCTCCATTATCAGAGACTAAGGGTTGCATACTAATTGAGTCATAACGCCTTATATCATCAGCATCAGGCAGATTAAAAGTTGAAACATCTCTACTGATTTCAGTATCTTGCAAAGATGTTGACCAGTTCGGATCCACATATATAGTTCTGTCTTTATGTTCAGTATCTAGCCAGGGCAAAGAATATTCATTGGACACAATCCTAGAAAAATTAACAATCATAAAACATAAAAATGTTTTTCATTCCTTCCATGCAATGTACCTGTTTTCTGTTTGGCCTCTGGAATGTTCATTTTCAGGAGGTTTTGCTGCCTTATCTGCTTAGCAAATCTGGCAGGGTTGTCCCATGGTACATAGAACTTCTCAGCATCAGTTCCACACATCATCCTGGAAGGCTTTAGTTTCCCAGTGTTGTCTACTTCAGAGAGCTTCAGGCTCTCAAAAGTAAACAATTTGAAGGCTCGTTCTACTTCATTCCAGCTCATGAGTTCTGTAAGAAGGCAGGAACTATGTCTAGAAATACTCTTGTATTGATTCATGGTACAAGTCTGACATTGGGGCAACCAATGGGTCTGTTAGCTAGTGCTAACCTGACTTTAAGCATTGCCTTCACGAGTCTCCAACAGATATCAAAGGTATGTAATGGTAAGAAAGATACACAATGAAGATATAGTTGATAAAGTTAATGCTCCCAAAGTGCCTCATAGCTTAATGAATATTATGCATCCTTATTTGTTGACATAGACTTTTGAGGGTACTATATTGGTTGAACATGCTTAAAACTTATTTTAAGAAAAGGAATCCTTTGCTGCTATTATAAATGAAGCCTGAAAGATTATTCAAGTGGGCCTCATATAGGCTATTATATTCAGTAGGGTTTTTTGTTCATTTAGGTTTAGGAAATACCTGCCCACCCAGTCACCACCTAAATTACTACATTCTATATTCTGTATTTACTTCAAAGTCACCAGCTTTGGCTCTATTCAATTGTGTATTTATTCTTTTATAGCATGTGTTCACCCATTCACATATTTGTTTGGTTATTCTATGAATGGGGATTGCATTTTCACAGGTTCCAAGGATTCAAAGAATGACAAGATTCTTATGCATTGAAAATTTAAGTTAAATGGGTAAGAGGTAGGAGTTAAGAAATGCAGAATGGGACAGCAAGGCAGAGGAGAAAGTTGGGGTGGAGACCTGGAGGCTCCCCAAGTACAGCTGAATACATTCAGGGGTGCTCTTTGGCACTGACTGTAGCATTATTTAAGTGGGTATTATGGGTGTGTGTTTATGGGTGTGTACCTCTCCTTGTCCATGTCTCATATGACCCGTGATTCTGCAGTCACTACCATCCTTTGTATAGATGTGTTTAGGGCATGGGACATGGAAAGGTACATTTCATGTCTTGTATTCTCTATCCTGTGACTCATGTACTTATTTGTAGTAAAGAGACTTAAGCATGAATAAAACACAAATACATGTAGAATTCAATGAAGAAAAATAGAATCATTGTGACAAATTAAAATTCAGGAAGTGCTTCCATTTTCTCCCCAACAGAGATGAGGAGAGTATCATAGAACCTGGAAATCATAGGTGGAATTCAGAAAAAGAGGCAAGAAAGAGATAAATAATTACTGAATGCTTATCCATTGCTTTATAGAAATTTTTGAGCACTTACTAAATGTCAGCAACTGTGATAAAAACTGGAGAACAAAGCAAGGGGCTTCTTGCTCTCAGGGAATATCCACTAATGCAGTGAAAAATAGATTAGCATATAAGACAATAGAGATGAGCAGAGGATTAAAAGTCAACATAATAGAGCAGAGAGGTTTCTATTGTGTATAAGATGCCAAAGAAAACTCCTCTGAATAATTAAGTGAAAATGTGAAAGAAGAGGAAGAGCAAGCTATATAGATGTCTAGGAGTACAGTGACTGGGGGAGGAGGAACAGCAAGTGCCAAAGTTCTGAGCCCAGAATGTGACTGATATGTTTGAGCAAGCAACAATGGGAATGAAGTGAAATCCTGACAGATGATGGGCTCAAACATGGATGGTGGAGTTTAGATTTTAGTCTGAGTGAAATGGATGACTGCTAAAGGGCTTTGAGCTAAGAAGACACAGGATTTAACATTTTAGAAGTGCGATTCTGATCATGTCTGGATATGTTAAAAAGTCAAAAAGTCTGTAGATAAAAAGATGAAAGCTAATGAAGCAACCTAAGAGCAAGGTGATAGGGAAATGGTATGGATGGTAGATGCTGTGGGACTGGCTCTGGGGTGTGAGTAAAAAGAGGATGTAGAGGTGACTCCAGAATTTTGATGGAAAATACTTGCTACTTAGTGACAAAGAGGATTGTGAGGGGGAAAATATGGTGATCAGGGATCATAAGTTTGATTTGAATCTGTTATTAGGAGTTATGAAAGGGAGAAGAGGAAGGTCAAGGGATTGGGGTGGGACATTTAAGAGGCACAAGTGTGAGGTTTCCATGGTGGCAACAAAAATAAGAATCCTGAGCTTTGGTAAAACAGCTGGAGAGAGCTAGCCTATGAAGAAGCAGAAGCCAGCCTGCCCCCAGGCACATACCAGCCACCATCTGAGATGCTTCCCTCTGGTAAGCAGTGTGGGTTGGGAGAAGCAGAAACCAGCCATGCCCACCATGTGCACACCAGCTGCCACTGGGAATGCTTCTTGCCAGTAACCAGTACAGGCCGGGAGAAAAAGCAGCCAGCCCCACCCTCACACCCATACCTACTGCCATCATGGAGCTTCCTGCAGGTAGCCAGCTTGGGCTGGGGGAAAAGCAGCAGCCAGCCCACAGCGGTACACCCACTGGCCACCATTGGGCACCCATTGCTAGCACTGGTGAGGAGAATTAGCTGGTCACACATTGGAGAAATTATAGCCAATGCCAGAAGTGCCTGGGACTCCACAACCCACTTGTCTGGAAGAACCCAGGAAAACGTCAAGATGAGGAGTTGAAAGGCAGTCTCTAGTCCTCAACTCAAGCAGAGCAAGTCCATATGTAAATATGGAAAAGATTGTAAATAGCACACCTGAAGTTTCTGAGATAATGGCAACTGAAGTAAAGAAACAACTTCATGAAGCTATAAAAGAAATTAGATCAGAAATACTATCTCAGGTAAAAGAAGAAATGAAAGTCATAATAAAAGAATTACTGAGTGTTTGTAAAGAAGACATAGATAAAAAAGTAGAGTAGCATAGGAAAATGAGAGAAACCTTGAATGAACATATAAGAAAGATTTAGCATGCATGAAACAGATTCAAAGAGATATTCAGGAAATTAAGAGCTCCATTGAAAGCTGGCAAACCTGCTTGAAAGAGACTGAAGATAAACTTTCAGATCTAGAAGACAGAATTGCAGCTAAGAAACACAAAAGGAAATATCTCTTAAAAATAACAAGGAACCGGGAAATAACAATTCAATGGCTGCAAGACAACACAAAGAAAAATAATTTAAGACTGATAGGTGTCAGCAAAAAAAGCAGGGGTTAACACAATTGAAATAAAAAGACTATTTACAGAATTGATAACAGAAAACTTCCCAAGCATAGGAAAAGGACTTGATATTTAGATCAGTGAGGCATTAGGACTCCAATTAGATATAACAAAAATAAATCTATACCCATACATATAATAATCAGGATTCCAGAAATTCAACACAAGAACAGAGTATTAAAAGCTGTTAGAAAAAAAGAGACAGATCACCTATAAAACCCATCAGAATCACGGCAGGCTTCTTAATACAAACCATTAAGCCAAGAAGAGGTTAGAGTGAAGTGTTTCAAATCCTGAAAGAAAACAACTTCCAACCCAGATGGATGTTCCCTGCAAAACTATCTTTCAAAATTAATGAAAACAAGATACTTCCATGACAAAGGACAAGTGAACAATTCATGACTACCAAATCAAGCACAGAAAGAACACAGAAGGACATTGTATAGAGAAATAAAAATGACCACAATTCCAGGAATAGTGATAGAGGGGGATTGCCAAGCAGGGCAAGAGACTGAATGAAGGGGTAAAGGACAGAGCCAATGGGAAGAAAATAGCAAGGCAGAGATGATCCAGTGCGTGTTGGCTGTAACCATTAATATAGGTGGCCTCAACTCACCAATAAAAGTAAGCAGAGACAGAGATCAGGAGACAGGCTCCATCAGTATGCCTAACACAAGAAACACATTTAACTTGAAAGAAAATTCATAGACTAAAAATCAAAGGAGAGAAAATAATGTTGTATGTGACAGAGAACAAGAAGAGAGTAGGCGTAGCTTGCCCACCAACGGCAGAGTGGATAAGAAAGATACAGCATTGTTATATAATGGAAAGCCACTCAGCTATATAGAGATAACCTATCATGCTTATGGGTGAAATTGTCCAGAGTCACATGGATGAACATTGTGTTGTCTCCCTCATATAAAAACTGAAGGAGTTAGTGGGTTCTAAAATGCACAATGGATATTATGAAAGTGAAGGGGGTGGACATCTAAAAAAGGAAGGCACTACCCATTGTTAATTTACTACTATCTTGCTTTGAAGCCCTGTATTGTTTTCATTGTTCTGTTTTGTTTGGTTTCATTATGTTTCTTTTTGTTTGATTTTATTATATCTGATGTATGAGCAGCTACTTCAAAGATGACAAAATACATTATGGTAGTCACTGTTGATTTACTGTTATCTTGCTTTGAAGTCCTGTATCATGTTCACTGTGTTGTTCTGATGGACTCTATTGTGTTTTATTTTTTTTTTCGGTTTTATTCTTTTCAAAATAAAAGAAAATTAGTTGGAAAGAAAATAGGGTTGTATCATGAGGCAGAAGGACAAGGGGAATGCAGCAGCAAACAGGCAAAGGACAGATCTTCTCAGGGATGTCATAGGTGATGGCTTTGGAAACAACAGATGAGACCTACTTAGGTCCATTGTGCTGCAGCCTGCTCATGGGCTGGTGTGACAGTCTTTAAAAGACATTGACTTTGTCTATTACTATGCCTACTTAAAAACGGAAAACAAATCAAAATAAAATATTTCAGTAATTTGGATAGAATTAGAAGTGAGATTGGAAGCAAGAATTTGTACCTTTTTTTCCCCAAAATTTTAAGATCAACTTCTTTCTTGTCAAATAAAGATATCATGTGATATTCCCTTTTGTAACTAGAGAGGCATCTGCCTACTGCCTCAAATGAGAAACAGAATTTGTTTTAGGGAATGATTGTCTGTGTCACAAAATCCACGGGATCTTTGAAATGAAAAGTGTTCCTAGACAGTCCTAACAATCCTTCTTCCCATGTCCTCAAGAACATAATATGGCTCTTTTGTCATGAGAAGAGGTTCCTTGAGGTTCCATGAGAGGAGGTTCCCCAATAGCCTGTGAGCAAGGTCTTTGGATTTTCTTCTGTATCTCTAAGACTAGGTCAGTGAGGGACAAGAGCAGATGCTCAAAATTGAAGATAGCACAATCAGATTTCTGCTGTGGTTCCTGTCCTGCCTTCAAATGACCAGAATTTTAGTGTTTGCTCTGCTGCTATTGTTCAAACCCTTTAAATTATTTAACCTGAGAGATTTCAGTTTTCTTGTTTGGAGATTTAGATTAGATGAATTTTAAAATTCCTTTTAGTTAGAAAATCTTATGGTTCTATGATTCAGCTTTATAGAAATTCGATTTCTGGACATGAATATTCTTCTCAAGATGAGATGGAGTAGGAGATTCCAATAGCACCTCTGCCTCAGAGTCACACTGTTTATTTTCCTTTCCATGCTCCTGTGCAGGGTGAGCCAAGAAGTGCTCACACTAATTTTAACTTGGTGGACATTCTTGACAAATTCAGGTTGGCTAAAAAAAGAAAAACTATGGAGGGACCTAGAGGCAAGAGCCAGAAGGAAAATTCCTTAACATAACTGTCCTTCATGAAGAAGAGCAGGGACCTAGGAAGAAGTTGTAGTTTTTCTGAAAAAAGTACTTTATAAAGAGGTAGAAGATGGGATTATTTTTGTTTGATGCTGGGGAAAAGGGTATAGAAGACAAAGAAAAATAGAATAAATTGACATTTATATAAATCAAATTGACAAGACATAGGCTTGCTCTCATAATAGTCTCTTTATTCTCTGTGTTCTCTCTGATACCCACTACCACTTAACTTTTAAACTAGTGAAAAAGCAGCTGGTTTCTCATTGGAACACCAGTCTTCTAATACATGGCCAACTATAGTCACAAGATTGGATAAAGAGATAAATGATAATCCACACTTTGACACTATGAATTTCACGAGGAGCAAAACTAGTTTCCCATCAACAGGTGGGAATCAGGCTGAAATAGTATTTCTTGTTTTTCTTTCTTCATAATAGGCATGGTTATATCTTTACTATACATTTCTGTTTTACTATACAGGGTGATTTGGTGGTTATCTTTATGCTGAATATAATGTTTTCAACTTTCCCCCAATCATAGTTAGACTGATAGTATAGAAATATTTAAAACCTGAATTTAATGTCACATCTGATCTGTTGATCAAGGCTGGAGTAAAGAGACTACTTCACGTTTCCTTTGGATAGCAAAACATTTCTAAAACTTTTTTTTATGGTTTGCTCCAACCAGTGAACATGAGAATACAAAGAAAGATATCTCTGAATTGAGGCAAGTTTGCACTATTACACTTGTCCTTCCTACTATGTAGCTGATGCTGCTGTGGTGTTTTTGTGTGGTTTGCTGTGATGATGAAAGGGAAGTGATGAAGCTGTAGATCCAAGGATGACATTTTCCTAGGAAAGGGCTATAAAACCTTGGCATTACTATTATTCAATAGGATGGAATTACCACATCATCTCTAATATTGTCAATGGGGAGAGGTAGGATGGGGAGAAGAGGAAGAAAGAAATAAATTATTCTGGAGAAGAAAATACAGTAGAAAGAAAATCAGTGTATTAATATGCAGAATGTTAAGCATGATAACCATAGTACCCCATTGCTAAGGACATTATTCAAGGAAGAAAGTACCCATTTTAGCTTCTGAAGTGTTTCAGTGATCACAATACATTTTGTAATAAGAATGTAACTTAAAGAGGCACAAGTGATCATTAGTTAAAATCAGTTTCAGTTAGGACAAAGCAATGTACTCACCACTTGTACAGAAGTGCATAAGCTCATGAATGGTAGCTAAACGTTTAGTGCTGTTCCAAGGGAGGGGCAGAGGGAACTGAAGGAGTTTCCACAGTGGCAACTTAGACTGCATCTCCTGCTCAATTTGAACTGGGTCAAAATTCTTTTGGTCCTGACACAAAAGAGCAACATGACAGAACACATTAAAGTAAGCTGTCAAGTGTCTTATGCATATGGAGGAGGCAAAACTTGATACTTTCACTTTCATTATTTGGGGATGGGGGAAATCAGTGATAATTGAGGAAGACAAACTTGGTATTTTGCTGAAGGTCAGAAAACCTAGTTCTCACTTTGCCAAGAGTTCCTGGTGCACAGAATTGACTGATCCTTATTTGCAGTGACAAACTGCCAAAGTCTCACATATATTCATCTTTCCCTTTGGAGGCCCTTTTCTGATCTCCACTAGTTTTTTGTATCAGCAGACATATAAAACAAAAGTTATAAACCTTCAGTGTAAATTTAATGGAAGGGGGTAGTGGGTCTCCATTATTAGGCAGACTTTCTTTAATGACATGATTTCTTTCCCCCCTATCCTTTTCTGTTCTCTGAGCTCTTACATCGTATCCATTTTGCACACTATGTTATGTATTATCTAATTTGTTGTTAGAGTTATCTAATTGAGATTCCTTCCATTGTGAATTACAAACACATGTTCTTACATCAGCTTTCCTTAGGGTGACCTGATTACCTTTAGTGCATACTTCCTGTAGGCATGTGCATCATGGTAGTTCAGTAGGAGAGGGCCTTTGGGCACTGCTTTGATTTCCCTTTCTTCTTCAGGTAAGAATACTTCACGGAGGTTCTATTAAAATTGAAATAATGTTGGTTTAAAGAGAGGATCTGTGCTTTTTCAAGGCATGAAATATCGGTATTTCTTGCCACCTGACCTTTTTCTCCCTCTCTGAGAGGCAGAGTGAGGGCAGGATGGACACAATGTGAGCCGCGATCCTGTGGTCTAACCCATCTTCTCTGGGTGGTGGTTCCACCAGACTCGGGGGAACAAGATCTTCTTCACTTGCCACAACCTATTGAGAAAAGCAGTGGGGAAGAATTGGTGTAATCTTTAGCTCTTTTTTCATAGTCGTGTATTACCACTGTGCTTGGTAAGAAGGCTGTTCCTATCATTAAGATTCCAGTGATTACTTGTAATGGCAGGAAAGAATCAATGATCATCAAAGTAAAAGGAAAACTGTTTGCAATTCATGTACTGAAGTGCATATAACTTTAACATGTATATTAAAATAGATAACACAAAAATAAAATGGCAAATAATAAACTTTACTGTGGGAGAAGTCACAATCACAATTTTTAAAAATATTTGTCACTTTTTTAATGCACCAAAGACAGTGCTCATACATCTTTGGATTTAATAAAAATTTACTGAGTGGCTACTATATATCATGTACTATGTAGGACACATTTACATACGGCAAGTTATTTAAACCTTAAAGCAATCTTTTTGAGTAGGCATCATTTTCCATTTTATAGAGAAAAAAAACTAGGGTGAATGAAATTGCATGATGTCCAATTCTAAGGCTACTGAGTGGAGGAGGGTAGGTTCAGGCCAAGTCCTCATTCTTTTTTTCAAGAATAGAAAAGTTGTTAAGACAAGGAGCCTGATAGAGGGTACTAGTCTTTTTTTATGTGAGGAAAGTGAAGTCTAGGAAGATTAAGTGCCTTGTTCAGTTGTACATGGTACATAAATAAATGAGATTGAAATATAGTCTATAGGTGCCTAATTTACAAGTTTTCCCTTTATCATTCTCCTGATTTTGTATCCTTCAGCTGGGTTTCTCAGCTTTGGAAGTAATGACATTTTGGACCAGAAGCCCAGTTGTCACAAGGGACTGTCCTGTGTACCACAGAGTAGTCAGCAGCATTCTTGGTCTCTGTACAATTGATGCAGTAATATCCTGGTGTGGCAACCGATAGATGTTGCCAAATGTTCCATGGGAGGCAAAAGAGCTCCTGTTTAGAAACCCTAGCACAGAGAAAGACAAAATAGTCTCATATTCTTTATTGTTTTAATGCCTTACTTTCAAAAGTGTCCCTCACTGTTTCCCCTTTCTATTTTCCACCTATTTTACAGGTCCATGTTCAATATCAAAGACCAGAAAAAGCTATTTCATCTCTAAAACATTAATGATAATATCCCATCCTGTAAATGCCATTTCATCATCTCCATACGTTAATGTTTCATCCCTTACTCTTTCATCCTACGTGTTTCTTTTGGCAGCTTTCTATGCATCACACACTGAGCTCATCAGTTGTCCTCTTTGATATCTGGAACACACTAGACGATTAGTAATGTTTGCTGTTGAGTTGAGTGGAATAAAAGAAAGACTGTGGCAAATAAAATGATACTGCGAACTCTGCAGGGCTTTTGAGCTCTTAAAAATTTATAGATATAATGAATCTTTTTCTCTCAAAATCATTATGGAGTAATTATAGGCGAATGTTAATGTGACTGGTCAGAAAACTAAGACATTCAGTAAACAGTAAAGTGTACACTGGGTAAAATAGAGATATTGGTGCCTCAAGAGAACTTTAAAATAAACATTTTATATACTGATAAAGAAAAATAAATGTGTTATGCTTATGAATTAAAAACAAAACACAGTGCTACAAATAGAGTGTTTACAATTAGAAACACTGCTAAGACAAAACTTCAATAGCACATTGGACTCCATTGAAGAAAAAATTTGTAGAAAGTTAAACTGGAGTTCCCAAAGAGCTAAACTGAAAGAAAAAGAAAAGGAGAAAAACTTAAGTGGGAATAACTATCCAATAATTAGAATAAATGGGAAAAATAATATTTGAAGATATTAAAAGAGACTTTCTTAAACTCTAGTTGTAATGGTTGACATATTGTGTCAACTTGGGAAGTTTAGAAGCTTAACTAACTCAGCAGTTGTACATCCGAGGGTGTAGAGGACATGCCCTGAGATAGTAGTTTAAGCTCCAAATGCAGCGGTTGATTCATTTGTCAACTTGAGAAATTTAGAAGCTTTACTACTTAGCTCAGTGGGGTCCAGGGTGCTCACTTTGTAAACAGCCTGAACTGTGCAAGAGGAGGGCACAGAGACGATGTGAGTGCAGCCTGAGCAGAGATAACCTGGTTACAATATACGAGAAGAAAAGAGGTTTGCTTCCCTCTCTTCCTTGCTGTTTTTGCTGTCTTCTGCACCCTTGAACTGTTGCTCCAGTGCCATGCTGTCCTGTTTTGGAGCCAGCTGATTATGGACTGAAATCTACACAAACTGTGAGTGAAATAAACCTTTTCTTTCTTAATTTTGGGCATTGGGTATTTTGTCTCAGCAACAAGAAAAAAGCAACCAAGACACTATTCATTTATTTAACAAATATGTGTTCAGTCCCTACTCTGTATTAGCTATGATTGCTGTGTGCCAAGGATCCAGCAATGAGCAAGACTACATCAAGTTCCAGCTTGCATGAAATTCACACTCTGATAGGAAAAATCCAACAAACAAAACTATTATAATAAGTTAAAAATAGCTGTTGAGAATAAAATAAAGCGGTATAACACACAGTTTTGCATACATGGTATGCAATTTGTTTGAATCAGGTGGATAGAGAAGGCTTGTGTGAGGAAAGCCACGCCCACTGGAGACTGAATCCTAGGAGTTTACATAGACATGTAGGTGGAACACAAACTACCAAGGCAGAGAAGTTGGAGCAAAAAGTTCCAGAAGAATTAAGTAATATATTTGCCCAAACCCCCAGAAGACTATATGGGGTACTTCAAGAATTCTGAATGTGACTGGGAAATAATATAAAATTCCTTTAGTTAATGAAGATGTTTAGAAGGAAACAAAACCATCTCTAGTGGAATGGTTTGGATGTGGTTTGTCCCTCATGGATTTATATGCTGGAGGCTTGGGTTTCAGTGTGTGGTGGTGCTGAGATGGTGAGACTTTTTAGAGGTAGACGTCAGATCCTTTCCTTTGAAGGAGTTAAGGTAATTATTATGGGAACTGTAGTTAGTTTTTGTGAAAGAGTTGTTATAAAAAGAACCAATCTTTCCTGGCTCTCACTCTGGCTTCCATCACATTATGTGGTCACTTCCTCTTACACATTCTATAGTTATGATGCTATTTACCATGATATAACCCAATTAAGGAAACCCTCACCAGAGATTGCAACAACGGGGCTGTTTGATTTTGGACTTTTGCGTCTGAAACAGTGAGCTAAATGAACTTTTCTTTATAAATGTAATCAGCTTTGGGCATTTTGTTATAAAGCAGAAAATGGACTAATACACCTAGATATATACTTGTTTTAATTATATTTTTGTTACTGGGTTAAAGCACCTGATGCTTTAACCCAGGAGAAAAGATTTATTATTTTGGTTTGCAGTTTGTGAAGTTTCAGTACATAGTCTGTTAGTTCTATGGGAGAATCATGGCAAAAAGTTATGGTGGATCAAAGCTGCTCACTTCGTGGTGGCTGGGAAGAAGGGTGAGAGAGAGATGTATCTTTCAAAAGTGCTTCTCTCCCTCCCCTCAGTGATTACACTTCCTCCAATCAGGCTCCACTTTCTAACAGCACATTCACCTCATTGGCTTAGTCAGTTCATGATTACAGCAGCCCCATGATCCAATCATCTTGCTAGGAATCTCTTAATCCAGTCAAGTTGACAATTAAGCTGACAATTAACTGTCCTAGATGTTATGCATTATAAAGAGAAAACTTTGATAGCTACAAAGAAAACATTGATTTTAGATCTATGTTCGATTACTTACTACTAATATTGGAAGGAAGAGAAAAACTGAGCAATGCTATTGCAATTCTTTTCCACACATATTGAGACTAGGTTTAAAAGTCATTCCTGTTGCTTACTATTTGAAGAAGCAACGTAACTTGATTATGCCTCAATTTTCTTATCTGGAAAGTGCGCGATAAGAATAGTTCTTACTTGACAGAATTGTTTTGAAGATTAAATGAGTGAATACTTTGGAAATGTGTGGAACAGTCGGTCCCTGCTGTCTATAAGGACCATTTATAGGCTAGTCATATGAAAAATAAATTCTTTTCAAATATACATAGATCATTCATAAGAATTGACCACGAGCATGAGGTCACACAAGAAGACTGAGGAAATGTCAACATTCAGACAATGTTTACTGGCACTATAATGAAGTAAAATTAGAAATCAGTAATATATAGTAGACATTAATTCACAAGTAAAATAAGTGATAAGGGATTCAGAACTCAATACTCTGAAACATCAGGATGCAACCAAACAAACATTCCAAAGGAAATGTAGACTTTAAGTAAAGCAAATAAACAATGAAGGATACTTTTAATTAAAATGAAATGCAAAATAAATCCAAAGAGAGTAGAAAGAAGGAAGCAACAATAAGTAAATTAGTAAAAAATCAAAGAGCTGATGAATAAAACAGTGTTTCTTTGAATAGACTACACTGACAACCATGACCAAAATAAGAGAGGCCATAGATAAATAACATCAGTCATGAGAAAGGAGACATAACCAACCAGAAGTTGTTTTGTTGTGATCATTCTGTACGGGGAAATTGGAACAATGAACTCCCCCGTGGTCCTGGCTTGTACCGTGGCACTTCTTTTGACTTTCATGTCTTTTTTATCCTGTTGTTTGAGACCTCACTTTCCTTTTCTCCATCAGTGTTTTCATCAGGCAATTAACACATCATTATGATTTAAGTGAATAAAATTAAGTATTATACAAAACATTGTATCTCTTGAAAATCCAAAAGATTGTATTTATACCAATGACAAGAAATAGCCTTACAAGTAGAAAAACCTAATTAAATCTTTAAGCACAACAAATATTAAAGAGAAAGACTCCTCACCAACCCACTCACCTGTCCATATTCTCCTCCTCTTCGATTAAAACAACACTAGATATATTTTTAGTGATATGTTCTACCAAAACTTTGGGGAATATAAAATGAATTCTTAAAAAAATAGAATGAGCTTTTCCACATTCAACTAAAACATGCTAATTTTTACAAATGAGGATGTATTCAGGTATTATGAGTATCATTTTAAAATAGTGTTAAAAAGTAGAGGCAAAGAGAAATGAAGAAACTTCCTTAAAGATACAACCTGGTATAAGCCTGAGTCTACTCACCTGTTCTAAAATACAGTGCAGTATCAGGGGCACGGAAATGAATTCCTCTGGAATTGGGTTCAGCAGATCATTATAGTATCTCATGTCTACTTCAGATGTGATGATGAAAGTCACTATAAAATACAGAAAATAACATTGCCCAGTTAAACATATTCTCCATTTCTCCTTTCAAAATCTCATGCAGAGTTGCAAATTATGACTATGCACTAACAAATGTAGCAACCTAGCTGGAGAGGATCTAAAAGGAATATAGAGGGCAGTCATTATACTTCCTTAAAGGGCCAGCTCATGATGTTACTCCTCTAGCAGCCGACTACATACATGCCTGGTGGTGGAACTTGTGGCTCTTCAGACTGTGGTTTTTTCTTTCCAGACCCTGGAACAGCTTGTTGTGAAGCCTAAAAGAGTAACAATTCAAAATAAACACAACTGAGATAGCCATCTGAGAGGTGCTGATATGATTAGATACAACAAGACTCTGACTATAATTACGTTCACACCACAGAATCATTTTCTAGTGAGATCAGAGGAAAGGAGTTTTGTCTGTGGGAGGAAGCAAACTATGCATGTAGGTGCTATTCAGTTTTTTCTAACATTGCCTACTGAGCAAATTAAGAGAAGAAAGTACAGAGATGGTGCATGGAGTCTCAAGCGTTTCTTTTTTCCCTGAATGATGCTGAGTCACGTCATTCGCCCAGAACAGTCTTTTGGTGGTTTCCCAGTGCACTCAGGATACAACCCAACAAGCTCATTAACTCAGCACCAAGGGGAGCACTCCTGATCTGCCTCCTTCCTATGCAGTTTCCAGTCATATTGCTGCTCTCCCTTTTGCACAGGAAGCCTGGGAACTCTAACTTCCTTCACCATGATCTTGGCTTGTGCCATATCTGTCTTTGATTTCCACATCTTTGTGTATCTCCGTCCCTTTTGTGAGAATATCATCATGCTCCTTTTCTCCATCAAGTTTTCTATCAGTTCAAACTGAGCCTTTGTGATATCACTAACCCTAGGAGTATTCTTCTGATTCCTCTCTCTGTACCCTATGTCTCCCCCAATTAGTTGAGGTACTATTTTTTAAACTGGTTTTTCGGTAGTCTGAGCTGTGTGCTTTCATAATATTCATTATGCTACACTGAAACAATTGACTAACTTCCTCTTTAAAAATTTCCCTCGCTGAGGAGGAATGAGCCTTCACTGCTGTGTGGTCAGTATCTCTCACAGTCCAAGCACATAGTGTACAATGACTACTTTATCACAAAGTCCCACTTTGTTCTATGTGTTATTCCTTGCACCATGTGCTGACAGATGTGTTTCATCCTTACTTTTGCAGGCATTAGATAGCTACAAAGCTTCATAAGTATCCCACCTCGTAACCCTCCACTAGGGTCCTTTTCCTAGTTCCCACCCTCATGAATTCAAGTTCAGCACTCAGTATTATTTCAGTACAAGTATGTATGTAACATTTTTAGCTTGTGCTTTAAAAGTTTGAAAATTAAGTTCAGTTCATCATTTGACCTATTAAAGACATACCTACCTCCGAAATCTGTATGGTTTCTAAGATAATTTTCTCATTAACCACCTGTGGGACATTAATAAGCTGCATGCTTTCCAAATAATGCTGGTGTTGCCTTTTCCAATCCAAGGTGTCATACATCAAACAGGCAATATTTTCAAAAATATTAGTGCCCAAATGAAGCTACAAATGAGAGAATTAATGACAATGTTATTAGTTTCAGATTATTGGGAATAGATGCACTATTTGTGTCTCTCTTAACAGCTAAGCCTGTCAAATTTTTATAGGAAAGCAAATTCTGAACAACTGGATTCCAGCTGTGGTGACTGAGTCTTTGTCTGTGAGCCTTGCTTACTGTTCTTGTTCATCACAATTCAGACTGTTCCCTTCACAGGTCCTTATGGATGCCTAGAATTGAAAATGTCCAATCATTGTCATTGAAAATGGTTAATCAGAGAAAACGTAACCATTAGCTTCTGCAGCATGGCCTATATTTTTTATATATCAGTTCCTAAAACATATTAGGCCATTTTGACTTAGTCAAACACAAACAGAAAATGGCTTCTTGTCTGGCTATGAAGGAGCAAAACAATCTCTTGCCAAGCTTCAAGTATCATCCACACAGGAACACTGCTATGTTCACTATATTCTTCCTTGTTTACCTCCCTCCCTTTTTCCATGTGCCTCTGGCACATTTAGTAAAGGACACTAGGAAATTCCATTAGATTATTGTTTCTTTTATACCTGAAGGTTTTATGAGCTGACAAGCAAGCATAGATCAGATGCATTTATTACTTAAGCTTTCACTTCCAGAAGTAGGAAAACATAGTGGTTACCGGTCTAGGCTCATCCCATATTTGAGTGGAAGAGGTAAGGCAGAAGGAGAGGACTTCTTGTGGGGTCAGGGAATCATGGTCTGGCAGAAGTCTAGAGAAGTACATAGCTCTGCCATCCTAGCACAGCTGTCCATCTGGCTTCACAATGCACAGGTTAAGACTGAGGGTTTTTAAGTTAAGCTTTAATCTGATATTCTTTGCCTAAATCCTGGTATACTAATACATTTCTAGAAAATAGCCCAATGTTTAGCTTAACTTAGTTAATTCATCTTAAAATCAAACAGCTGGTGTTATACTAGAGATCATCAAATTATTTCAGCAATCAGGGTTTAACTTGAGATGTTGCAGGTGCTTACATGAGAAATTAGCAAGTCTTGGTGGGTATTTGTTTGCTGTAAAGCTTTTGATACCTTGGTAAAGCAGGAATACAGCCTGCTTGTTTGCCAAAGGTTGCAAGTAATTTCCATCCACAGAGGAGGAAGGACTCTTGGCTGGCTTTTACTCTGGATACAAGGTCATTATCAACTTAAACTCAATGTATGAACACTATATGTATTTGGTCTATTGTTACTACTAGTAGATTTATCATTTTTTTTGTTTAAGTTTAAAATGAACTTTGATCCTCAGTATTCAATTCAATGGCTTTGGAGACCCTCCTTTTCCATTGTCCCCAATGGTGGGACCTTCAATCCACAAACTTGACTGAGCTCTAAAAGATTACTGCAGTTGGACCCAGACCAAAGCCCTGGTAAATTAGCAGGTAGGAGATCAGTAGGATCAAGTGGGCAGTGCAGCCCCAACTGACTCTCTCTAAAGAGAGTTGAACACTTTCAGATTATATTACTTGCATGGCCAGATAGACATATGAGACATTAATCGTGTCAACCTGAAATCAGCTGTGTGCCACCATACCTCCTATTTCAAGTGAGCTAGTATAAATATGAAATATTTTTTCCTCAACTTTAATCAGCATTTAAATTCTTCTATGTTTTGAAGAAAAGTATTGCCACTATGTCTTTCATTACAAGAGAACGATGAATCTAATGAGTAGAAAATCATGGTCACTGGATAAGAAGCAGGATGCCAGGGACGATGCCTGCAAGTGCAGGCTACGGTGTTCACCTCTGTGCTCCAGTGATATCTCAGAATGGATTTGATTTTGGGCTGAACAGATTTTGTCTTTTCTCATCACGTGATGGAGAGTAGAGAACTTGCACAGAAGAAAGCTTTTGCTAGTTTTCTGAATTCACTATATTTCCCAGCATCTCATTTCTTCTTTTTTCAAATGAATAGGAAACGTAAAGAGTGTGCTTAACCTAACTCAGTATGTGGATATACGGCATCTTAGCTGCTGTCTCTGTTTCATGGTTTTAACATTTCTTCTCTGCCAGCTCCTCAGTAAATGTTCCCAGGAAATGTCTCTTAGTTGTTGGGCTAGGGTTAAGTAATCTGTTAAACATACAGCACGCTGGCCAAATCTACTAAAAAATAAGATTTTGGCAATAAAAGCAAGAACTTAGAATGACAACACTTAAACTAACATCCAGGGAGAGACAGAGAGAAAGAGAGAGAGAGACAGACAGACAGACAGAGACAGAGAGATAGAAACAGAGAGACAGAGACCGAGAGAGGAGAGAGAGACACAGAGAAAGAGAGAGAATATAAGATTTTACTATTTCCTCAGTTAATATATATTGAGATTCTGATTACTGGCTCAACATTGTTGAGGCATGAAACAAAGCCATGCGTTATTTAAAAGAATCACTGTTATTTATCTTCATTTGCTCTATCTTACCCTTTTCCATTAATTCATATAAGAGCTATGGAATCAGACCATAACCATGACTGGGTTTTGTGATCAGTGCTCAGTAAGCATCTGTGGCATAAATGGATGAGGTAAAAGGACTACAGTATCACATGTTGAAACTAGGTATTCTCACTAACGAATGTACTGACCATTGTCTCATTGTCTGACCAGTCAGGTGGAAAATCAGCTGCTTTGACCATGTATTCAAGCCGAGCAACATCAAAGAGATTTGTTTCGGGTTTCTCATTATTCAGGATTGGGTCCAAGTATTTCCAGAAAATTTCAAGGTCTTTTATGGCACTCTCTTTCTTCAAGGTTTCAGCTTCTTTATCTAATAATAGCAATACGTTTTACTACAAAATTAAAGTATTGAATTTCCACTAAAATCAGACATAGTGAGTCACAATCAGAGTAAGAAATGTTTGTACAATACCAGAAAATGCAAAAAACCCCCAACAAATATAATCATTATGTACTGCAAACCTACACTAAGAAAATAAAAAAATGTAAATTTAAAGATTTCTTGAAACTGAACAGTACAATTTTGAAATCAAAAGATGTTACTTGTAAGGTTCATATTAAATGTAAATTTATCCTGCCACTTCATTTAAATATTGAGGCCCAGAATGATTATGAAAAGGTCATACATTTTGGGAGCTAAATATACTCAAGATTTCTATCACTCTTAAGTTGCATCGATATAAGACCAGTTTTTTTTTTTCTAAAAGGCCTTTTGACTATATTTTATTTCTTCTCACAAGGCTAAAAGTAATCTGGATCAATGATTTATGCTTCAGTTAAGTTTTGATCATGTTAAATAGCACTGTTTTCTTTGGGCATTTGTATACTGATTATAAAATAATAAAATATTCACACTTATACTTAAGAATTTATTCTTTTTTTACTTTTTAATTTTAAAGATATTAAGACAAAAGAGGACAGAACAAAGCAGATCAGAACAGAACAATGGAAGTAACACAGCACTTCCAACAAGACAACCAGATATTAACAGTAGCTACCATAATGTCTTTCTTTGAAATAGTTGAGCATACCTTCACATACCATAGTATCAAACATAATAAAATAGTATAAAACCATTCAAGATAATGAAAGTATTACAGGGCATTCAGAATCAAGTACCAGAAACTGAACAATGGCTACTATATTATCGTATTTTCCATAGAAAATTTGTTTCTACTATCACACATATTAATATCCAATAAGACACAACGTGGTAGAACCGATGGAAATAGAACAAAAGCATGGCAAGACTTCAAAGCAAGATGATATTAAATCAGCAATGGCTGCCATAATGTCTTGTTTTCTTGAAAATAGCTGTTCATACCATCACACATAAAAAGATCAAACAAAACAGAATAAAACCATTCCAACTTATGAAAGAAATCATTATAAGGCTTCAAAGCAATGTAATAGGGGAATTGTGATTACCACAAAATCTTATATAACCTTACCATTTCTTACACTAGGGAGACTATATGTTATTTATACATGTGAGTTTGATTTATTTCACTTATAAGTATGGTCTCAACTTGTATCCGTTTATTCATAAATATCTCTATGTGATCATTCTTCATAGCTGAGTAGTACCACCACTTTTTTATCCATTCCTCAGTTGATGGACACTTAGGTTGTTTCCAAGACTTGGCTATTACAAATTGTGCTGCTATAAACATGGATGCACATATATCACTGTTTATGGTGTTTTCAGTTCCTCTGGGAATATGCCTAGAAGTGGAATAGCTGAGTCAAATGGGACTTCCAATCCCAGCTTTTTGAGGAATCTCCAGACTGACCTCCACAGTGGTTGTACCAATCTAAACTCCCACCAACAGTGCAGGAGAGTTCCTTTTTCCCTACAGCCTCTCCAGGATTTGTTGTTGGTAGTTTTCCTGATCCTGGCCATTCTTTCTAGATTGAGATGAAATCTCAGTGTAGTTTTAATTTGCATTTCTCTAATGAGTAACGGTGATGAACATTTTTTCATGTATTTATTTGCTATTTGGATTTCTTCATCTGAGAAGTGTGTATTCATCTCAAATGCCCATTTTTGGATTGGGTGTTTGAATTTTGGGGGTCTGACTTTTAAAAAATTCTTTATATGTTTTAGACAGAAGTCTTTTGTCTGAGGGATAGTTCATTAAGACTTGTTTCCCAGTTTGTGGGTTTTCTTTACATTATGCTGGAGATTTCTTTTGACATGCAGAAAATTTTTAATAAGTCACGATCCCAGTAATTGATTCTGGGAAGTATTTCCTGTGTGGTTTGATTCCTGTTCATTAATTCTCTACATACCCTTATGACTTCAAGATTTTTACCTACTTTGTTTTTCAACAGATTTAGTGTTTCTATATTAATATTTAGATTTTTGATCCATTTAGATTTTAGTTTAGTACATGGTGATAGGCATGGGTCTAGTTTTAGTTTTTGGCATATGGAGAGTCAGTTTTTCCAGCACCATTTATTAAAGAGACTGTTGTTCTTCTACTAAACATATTTGGCCCCTTTATCAAATATGAGGTGGCTGATCATGTTTGTAGTTGTAGTTGTATTTTCTAACCTATTGCATTGATCTTTAGATCTGTTTTATTCCGGTACCATGTTGATTTTATTACAGTAGCTTCGTAGTATAACTTCAAGTCAGGGATTGTGATCCTCCTGCCTTGTCTTTGCTGCTTAGAATTGCCTTTGGTAGGTCTCTTCTGGGTTGAGATGAATTTTAGGAGTGATTTATCTAGGTTTATGAGGTATGTTGATCGTATGTTCATTGGGATTGCATTGAATCCATATAAGAGTTTTAGGAGAATAGCCATTTTGACAATAATTATTCTTCCTATCCATGAACAAGTGATGTCTTTCCATTTTCTGAGATCCTCTTTGATTTCTTTTTTCAGGGTATTATAATTTTCCCTGTATAGATCTTTTACTTCTTCCATGAGATTAATTCCTAAGTATTTCATTTTTTTAGATGCAAGTGTGAAGTGTGTGACTTCTCTTATTTCTCTCTCTGTGATTTTGTTATTAGTGGCTACTGATTTTTGAGTATTGACTTTGTATCCAGCTACATTGCTGAATTTATTTATTCTATCTAGGAATCTTTCAATGGAGTTTGTGGGTCATTTATGTAGAGTATCATGTCATCTGAAAATAATAATACTTTAACTTCCTCTTTTCCTATCTTTACCCCTTTTATTTCTCTCTTGTCTAATTCCTTTGGCTAGTATTTTCTTTACTATGTTGAATAGGAGCAGTTATAAGGGACATCCTTGTCTTGTGCCTGATTTTAAGGTAAAGGCTTTCAGTTTTTGGCCATTTAATATGATGCTGGCTTTTGGTTTGTCGTAGATGGCCTTTATCATATTGAAGTAAAGACCATCAATTCCAAATTTCTGTATGGTTCTCATCATGAATGAGTGTTGGGCCTTATCAAAAGCTTTTTCTGCATCTATAGAAATGATCAAGTGATTCTTAACTTTGGATCTATTGATATGATGGATTATATTTATTGACTTACGTATGTTGAACCATCCTTGCATGCCTGGGATGAATCCCACTTTGTCGTGGTGTATAATCCTGATGATTTGCCGCATCCTGTTTGCTAATATTTTATTGAGAACTTTTGCATCTATGTTCATTAGGGAGATTGGCCTGTAGTTCTCTTTTTTAGTTGGGTTTTTCTCATGTTTTGGTACTAGACTAATATTTGCTTCCAGGAATGACTTAGGAAGAATTGCTTCTTTTTTGATTTCATTGGAGAGTTTGAGGAGTATTGGCATTAAGTCTTTTTTGTAGAATTCCGCAGTGAATCCGTCTGGGCCTGGGTTCTTGTTTGTAGGTAAGGAGTTAATTACATTTTCAATTTCATTAATAGAAATTTGGTTATTCAGCAGTTTTATATCATCTTGACCCAGCTTTGGTACTTCATATGTTTCTAGGAATCTGTCCATTTCTTCTGTGTTATTGAACCTATGAGAGTAGAGGTTTTGAACAGGTGTTGATGATCTTCTGTATTTCCACAGAATCTGTAGTGATTTCACCTTTTTCATTCCTTAGTGCATGAATTTGAGTTTTTTCTTTCCTTTTTAAAAATAAGATTGGCTAGGGGCTTATCAGTTTTATTTATTCTTTCAAATAACCAACTCTTTGATTCATTGACTTTTTGGATTGTTTTCTTAGTCTCTATTGCATTAATTTCTTTTCTGATTTTTATAATTTCCTCCCTTCTTTTGGCTTTGGGCTTGAATTGCTCTTCTTTTTCTAGCTGTTTGAGGTACAGCATCAGGTTGTTTATTTATGTTCAGTCTGTTTTCATAATGTGGGAACTCAGTGCAATAAATTTTTCTCTGAGGACCACTTTCATTGCATCCCACAGATTCCACTAAGTTGTATCTGTATTTTCGTTTGCTTGTATGTATTGTTTAATTTCTTCTTTAATTTCCTCTGTGTCTCACTGATTGCTCGAGAGTGTATTATTCAATTTCCATGTGTTTTTTTTCAGTTTCTTTTATCATTAATTTCTAGTTTCATGACACTATGATCCAATAACATGCATGGGATAATTTTAATTCTTTTTCATTTACTGAAATACATTCTGTGGGCTAATATATGGTCTATTTTAGAGAATGTCTCATGTACTGCTGAGAAGATGTATATTCTGTTGTTTCTGTGTGGAACACTCTATATATGTCTATCAAGTCCATTTGTTTACAAGTGTGATTCAGTTCTGTTATTTCTTTGCTGGTTTTCTGTCTGGTTGATCTTTCCCTTTGTGTTAATGGTGTTTTAAGGTCTCCTGTTAGAATTGTGTTATTGCTTATTTGATCGTTCACTTCTGTTAATACTTGCTTTGCACAGCTGGGTGCTCCTGAACTTGCTACATATATATTTAAGATTTTTATCTCTCCCTCTTGAAGTTTTCCCCTAACTAGTATATATTGACCTTCTTTATCTCTTTGGATCATTCTTGGTTTGAAGTTCACATTGTCTGCAAACAGCATAGCTACCCCTGCTTTTTAGGGCATTCCTGATGCATGAAGTATTGTTTTCAGTGTATGAATTTCCTTTTGGGTTAGATGGGTTTCTTGTAGACAGCATATGCTTGGATGTTGTTTCTTGAACCATTCTGCCTGTCTGTTTCTTTTAATTGGTGAATTGAGACCATTTACATTAATGATTATAACTGATATGTATTGGTTTATTGTTGACCTGTTATCTTACTGCTGTTGTGTCTTTACCTTTCCATTCTGTTTAATTGTCTGCCTTGCTTAACGTTTTTTTTTTTTTTTCCCAATGTGTCTCTAGAATGTCTTTCAGTATTCTTTGCAGGTTGATTTGGTGATCACGAAGTTCTTCAGCTGTTCTTTGTCATGGAAGTATCTTTTTCTCCATCCATTTTGAAGGACAGTTTTTCAGGGTGCCTAAGTGTACGTTGGAAGTCATTTTCCTTTAGGATGAGAAATACTTAAGTCCATGTTCTTCTTAACTTCATTATGTTGAGAAGTCTGCTGTGATTCTGATAGGTTTTCCTGTATAGGTGTCTTTTCTCTCTAATAGCTTTCAATATTCTATTCTTCTGTTAGATTTCTGGGATGGTAATTATTATACTTCTGGGTATAGTTTTAATTTGGTCATGGCTATTTGTAAATAAACTTCTGTCAGTAGCCTCTTGATCATTTGTATTGTTCCCTTCTTTTTCAATTATCCTTATCAATCTTATGTTGTTTATCTTTGCATCATCTTGCAGATGTTGAATTGTTATTTCCTGATTCCTTGTTATTTTTAAAAGATCTTTCCTTTCCTGTTCACTAGCTGCAGTCTTGTCTTTGAGGTCTGAAATTCTATCTTCATCTTCGTTGAGGCAGATTTGACAACTCTGAATGGAATTTTTGATTTCCTATATATCTCTTTGAATCTGCTTCATGTATTCTGTTTGTTTCTTATAATGTTCATCCAGGTAGCCTATTTTTTTGGCACTGTTCCTCTAGTTTTCTTAACTGTGTCTTTTTTAGATGTGTTCAGCATTTCTTTCATTACTTTTATCATTTCTTCGTTTACCTGGGAAATTATTTCTAATTTGAAATTTTTTATAGATTCCCAGAGTTGCTTCAGTTGCTATTATTTCAAGTGTATGGCTTACATTTTCTTCTATGTACATAGCCCCTAAGCTTTCTTTGGATGGGTTGGAGGTTTAAGATTGCATTCATCATTTTCCTATATTTCTGTGTTTCGAGTGTTGTTTCAAAGCCTTCCCTCCTACCCCCTCAGTGCCTGGGACTGAATGGTGGTTTCTAGCATCATTTAGTCAGGCTTCCAGGACCTCCTGTGCCATCTCAGGTGTTCCAGGAAGCTGAGCGGGCCTCTAACCACTGTGGATCATGGTCCAAAGCTCTCCTCGGGCTAGTGCTGATGGGCTGGAACTCACCTCACGTGACCTCAGCTCCCCTGATTGAATGAAGGTCACTCGGTGTGGTCTAGTGGAGCCCCAGAAACCTCTGGAGTCTAATCCAGTGTGTCTGGAAGCTGGGCGGGCACTTAACCTTTGGAAGTGATGATCTTAAACTCTTCCCAGGCCTGTGCTGTTGTGCTGGAATTCATCTCATGGGGCATCAGCTCCTCTTGAGATAAGATCACTGGGCATGGCCCAGTTTAGGCCTGTGAGACCTGCAGAGTCTAGTCCCGTGTGCCTGGAAGTTGGTCGGACACTTAACTGCTGGGAGCAATGATTTTAAACTCTTCCCAGGCTGTGCCAATGTGCTCAGAATTTATTCTTATTATATCTAGAACTAATAGTTGTTGCAATACTAAAATATTATTTTAAAGACTATTTTGTATTAATTTATTGCTAATTAAATATTTGTATAAAGACCATTTTACTTATGTCACATTTGTTATTGGCTTCACTAGTAAATCATTTAATATAACTATTCTTTGAGATACTGAGGAATAGTCTGGGTGTGAATCTCAATTCTTTTACATAATAGCTTCTTTTGGTCTGAGAGTTATTTGTGGAACAATAGAAACAATAAAACATATTTGCTAGGCATGTTGTGAAAACTAAACGAGTCAATGTATTTAAAGCCTTTAGCCATGTGTCTTGCCCAAGACATGTGCCTAGTAAATGGTATTATTATCAGGGATAGTGATTTCTTTTTAAAAAATTAAGTTTATTGGTACATTTTGGATGTACATAATGATCACATTCCTTATGGGGAATGTATACCTGTATATGATTTAATTTGATTCTCCCCCACATCCATTCCCAGGGGTAGTTATTTTGAAATCTGAAGAGCACTTGAAAAAAAAAGTAGTGCTCCAGAAATTGGGGTGTGGCTATGTAAGTTTTAAAGATTATGCAAGTGTTATTAATGAATAACAATAAAAGCAGTGCATAAGGGAGAAAGAACTGAGATTTCTGAAAACACAGGTTTACAGTGAATCTCAATTCTGTTACCTAGTAGTAGTAACTTTCTTCTTCTTTTCCACAGAGGAAGACTGGCACATTTCCCTGAGATGAACACTCCCAGGATGCCCGTGACTGGTAGTGTGACTGGGATTTCACTCCTCAGCTTCCTAGTCCCCAGCCAAGAAGATAAATTACCCCCTGCAATTTATCACAATAAGGCAGTAACAAGTAGGGCAAGACTGCCAGGCTGTGATCTCACTTGGGCCATTGGGGACTTTTGCAAGAACTGATTCATTCATTCAATAGTAATCTATCCAGCCCATGCTTTTTGTGTAAGAAGTTACAAATCAAAGGTTCCTGAGAAATGTAGTTGGACAACCAAGTCTTCTGACCTACAGTCTATATTTTCTGTGACTACACAGGAGTACAAACACAGAGTATGACTTTAATTTGCAGAATTTATGACTCTTGGCTGATACAAGCAGAATAAATAGCAAATCAAAGTCTTGAAAGGATTTAATAATGAAAGTATTATGTGGCTATGTTTTGTACAGCAAATCACATTTGTACTTTAAGGACTATGGGTAATATTGAAGGACTCGGTAAGTTGTATAACAGACTACATACCTTCTGGCTGAAGAGAAACTTCCTGCTGCTGCTTAACTGCAGCCAGGTGTGTCTGCAGAGGTTCATAGTTCTCTGAAGATATTTTAATCACACTGGTTATGGGAATGCCAAGCTCAGTCATAATGGCTAATAACTGAGGATTGTTGAAGCCCACAACAATAATGTAATGTTGGGCACCATCATCTGGCTCATCATCTGTTCAAAATACCACAAAGAAGAGTAGTCGTAGTTGTAAAAGAGAACAGGTTGTGCTTAGCCAGTTTAATAGCTATATACATTATGCATGCATTTGTAATCCCCCTGGCTTGCCAAAAATGGTCCAGTTGGCTGGAATATGGTCTTGTTGACTGTTTTTCATTATTGCTCTTCCAGTAAGAAGACCTCAGCCATTTTACAAAATATTAAAACACTTTTGCAAATGAGACATAGGAGTAATTGAAGGACAAATACACAAGGGGCTTATGGTCATGGAAAATGTATGTTTCAGTTTTTATCTGAGTTTAGCCTATAACTTTTTTTTGGGTTCTAATCTCTTTTGAGCAACATCTGGCTTTACTCCTGAATTACAAGTAGCTGCAGCTTTGTGGTATTTTACAAGTAGAGGTGTTTACAGGATAGGGAAATACTGAATATAGATGAACTCCCTATCAAAATATTATACACACCTATGTCAGTTGGTATACATTTTGATTATTGGTTATGTAACAAATATGCATTTATTGCACTAATATTTAAAATACATATTTCATAAAAGTATGCCCTCTATATTGCCTTCCTTATACTATTTTATTAAAACATGAGATTACTTTAGAATATAATATTCTGTGGGATGAGAATCATTGCTATACTTTAATGTTGATATTGCATGATACATGGAAACATTACATTGTATAATAGGACATTAAGGTTAACTCATGAATAATACAGCAGATGAACAATTCTTAAGTTTCAAAATAATTTTTCTTCTATAACAACAAATCAACACTGATATTGCAAGGGAATTAATCACATTGCAACTTCTTATTTTATTTAAAGAAAGACAAAACAAAAGAGAAAACGGGCAGAAATAGTACATACTTTCAAAGAAAAGAAATAAACAGTAATAAATCACTAGCTGATGTATTCATATTGTCCCCCCCCCCTAATTTCTTAAGTCCAGTGAATTTAGAGCAGAGATCTATGAGAGGACTCAAGTTCAAGGACAGGAGAGCTCACTGCTATTTCATTTAAATAGGATCTAAAATTGCTAAAAATATGAAATCTTTTATTTAAAATAATAAATAAATACAACATAGATAGTAACAGGTAGCTTGATTTAGGTTCAGGAAGGCAGTAATGACTTACAAAGGGCTACCTAGGACAAATTATATTTATGTCAGTAGTATAACATGAAAGAATATTCTAGTTGCTCTCTTTCAGGCAAAATGAAAGTGGGAGAAGTTGGGACTAGGAAGCTAGGTGTTCTTTGTGAGTCTCAAAAAGTGGTTTGAATTTATTACCATTTTATTTAGCTTATGACAACAGCCGCCTTTTCTTTTGCCTCACAATCACATCTAATTTTATATTTCCAACAAGATAGCCTTAGGGGTCCAATCATCTTGCTGTCTCATTCTTTGTTGCTAAATATGCCTTGTCAAACACACACTAAATAAGTATTTGCTAAAAACATTTAGAAACATTTCTGTTAGAAATTCATTTTGCATTAAAGTGTTATGGAAAGTAAGTAACTTATGATTCTGTAAAGAATGAAAAGACTGGGAAAAATTAAGCATAGTTACTGGGATGATCTCTCAAGCTATGGTACAGGGCAAAAGCGAAAAGGAAAAGGCGACCGACAGCAGCAGCTCACTGACCAATGTAATACTTCTTGTTGTCCTCTTCGCCTCTCCGTTTTAACTCAGTGGTTTTCTTCACTGTCGTGCTGACCTCGAGCTGCTCTTTTCCCTTTCCTTTAGCAGCCTTGGCACCTGGGGCCTTCTTTTCTTTGGAAGGTTTTGCTTTCGCTTTATCCATTTCTGCTTTAGATCTCTCTTCTGTCACCTGGAAGGAAAGGAATACTTACAGCTTTAAATTTTTATTTTACCCCATCACTTATTTCTCGTTTGATTTTTCATTTATTCATTTGTTAAACCAGGTTAGTGGAGATTCCAGCCTGAATCTAAGCCACGAGAAGGTAGATCTTTGCTCCAGGAATGAAGGGGCAATTTCAGGAAGTTGTTTATGCAAAAGCCTTCTGGGAGACAATCTGTCCACCTCAGCTGTGTTAAGGTAGGACAGGAAGACAAATCTGAACACATCATCATGTTAGAAATTTGGATGCTCATTTTAGCCAGACTCTGAAGAGCATGCTTCTGAATCTTAGAGGAATTTGAGTTGATCATTAAAAACAAAAAACAGGGGCTGGGGATTTAGCTCAGCAGCATAAGCACCTGCCTTGCAAACAGGCAGTTGTGAGTTCAATCCCTGGTACCGATAAAAAACAAAACAAACAAACAACAACAACAACAACAAAACACCCAAAACTAAAAGTGAAATAGGAAAACAGAAAGAACAGGTTCCCCCTCCCTAATTTCCTTGTCAAGCTTCTCATGGTTTAGTAATGCATTTTTTTTAATTTTGAAGAGAATAAAACCAAATGAGAGAAAACAAAATGAGGTCAATCAAAACAAAAGGATGGACATAGTAATGACTTAAAACCAAAATACAAAGTGACCTACAATGATTACCATGATGTCCCTTGTTATCTTCAATAGAATTGCCCATATCATCAGTCATAATAAAATTGAACATAACAGTATAGAACAAAATCAATAAAAACAAAACATTGGAGACATTCCAAGACTGCAAAAGAAGATAACAGTCAAACCAGAATGGGAACCATAGTGAATCTTACTGTCTTCAAAGCAGTTGTCTATACACTCAGACTGGATACTATTAAACAAAACAGATTCAAATCAAATCACTCAAAACAAGACAGTGATCAAACAAAACAGATTCAAATAAAATCAGTCAAAATAAGACAGTGAAAGCAATAAAGGGCTTCAAATTAACTTACTAGGTAATCAAAAATGGTTACCATAGTATATCCTGCTGTCTTTGGAATAGCTGTCCATACCATCAAATCTAGTACAAACAGACAAACTGGAACAGAATATAACCAAGCTAAACAGAGCGATGAACACAATATGGGTTTCAAATCATGATACAAGATTAACATTGTCCTCTGCCTTCCCTTTTTAGACAATTCCTCCACTTTCACTTTCACAGAGTCCATTTTACATTTTGTATCCCACTAATTCCTTTGATTTTTAGATTAGGGAGGCAACCCACTGTTACCTAAGTGATTCTGAATCTTTTTACCCCTGAGCATGATCTCAAGTTGTATCCATTTACCTAGGAGAGCCTCAAGGTTTTCCTTCCTTATAGCTGAGTAGTTCTCATTGCATAAAAGTGTTACATCTTTCCAACAAATCTGATGGGTGAGCTATCCCTACTTTCTCTGGTTCCCTGTCACAAAGAGCATTATTTTCTCATCATTGTCTTTCCGTCTATAAATCCTCCTTCAGGTTAATTATATTTCTTATACAGAGCATCTTGATGGACCCTATCTCCTGACCCACTGTGTTTCTTTTTATTAGCGTATTGAGGCCATCTTAGTGATTATGGCCAACCTTCTCTGTCTCATCTCTGCCGTGCTATTTTTCTGCCATTGGTTGTCTACTTTTCCACTTAATTCCAATGTCTGCCCTGTTCAGTGAGTACCCTCTGCTGATGTACCTGAACCATGGTCTTTTTTCTCTCTAGAATGTCCTTCAGTATTTCTTGTAGGGTTGGATTGGTGGTCACGAACTCCCCCAGTTCCTCTTCGTCATGGAAGCATCTTGTTTCTCCATTAATTTTGAGAGATAGTTTTTCAGGGTACATCAGTCTGGGTTGGAGATTATTTTCTCTCAGGGCTTGGAATACTTCACTCCAAGCTTTTCTTGATTTGATGTGTTAAGGAGTCCTGTCATGATTCTAATGGGTTTTCCTTTATAGGTGATCTGTTTCCTTTCTCTGACAGCTTTTAAGATTCTGTTCTTGTGGTGAATTTCTGGGATCTTGATTATTATATGTCTAGGTGGAGATCTATTTTGGTTATAGCTGGCTGGGTTCTGTATGCCTCATATACTTGAACATCATTTCTTTTTTCTATGCTTGGGAAGTTTTCTTTATTCCTGTAAATGGTCTTTGAATTTGATTTGTGTTTACCCCTGCTTCTTTGCTCACATTTCTTGTTCTTAAGTTATAGATTCTCTTGTCATCTTTGAAGTTTTGTATTGTTTCTTCCTGGTTCCTTGTTATTTTAAAGAGGTCTTTCCTTTCATGATTGCAAGTTGCAAACCTATATTCAAGGTCTGATAGACTATCTTTAGTTTCTTTCAAGCAGTTTTGCCACCTTTCAATGGATTTCTTCATTTCCTGGTAATTTCTTTGAATCTGTTTCATGTATTCTAATTTTTTTTTATATTCTCCACCAAAGATTTCCCTCCTTTTTCTGTGCTCCTCTGTTACTCCATGTGTGTCTTCTTGAGTGATGCTTAGCATTTCTTTTATTACTTTTCTTATATCTTCCTTTATTTATATTAGTATTTCTGTTTTAAATTCTTTTATAATTTCATGAAGTTGTTTCTTTATGTCAGATGCTGTTGCTTCAGAAACTGCAGGTGTGCGACTCCCAATCTTTTCTGTGTTTACCTTTCCTGGGCCAGTACTGCTTGGGTTGGAGGCTGGAGACTGCTTTTTATTTCTTCCTCTTGTCATATTCCTGGTTTCTTCCAAACAAGTGGATAGTGGGATCCCTGGCACTTTCTGTATTGATTATAATTACTCTGAAGCATGTTGTGTAGGGATTGCTGCTTTCTCCAATCTGTTGATGACTACTAGAGTATAAGCACAGGTAGGGCAAGCTGGCCCTTCCTTTCTGAGGTGGTTAATCACTGGGAATCTTCACCAAGTTAGTGTGTGCCATATGGTTAGAGGTAGCTTTAGGGAAACTTCAGTCTTGGCTATTGGGTCACGCACAGGTGTGGGACTCAGTCCAAGCAATGTTCATCAATCTGCTCTGTGCTAGGAGTGGATGAATGAAGCCAGCCACAGTTCTGGTCCTGGATTTATCCTGCCCACCTCCAAAATGGCACCCAGCCAATGCACTGACTATTTTTAAATATTAGAATATTCTTTTGAGAGTATAATACTAACACATTACTTTTATGATAGTCTCACTTACATGATGGTTGCTGTTTGATACATCCAAAATGGGAACTGCACAATATTACAGTTTGGTCCCACAAGTTGGTAATACACTGCTCTGGACCATGCTTAGATCATCACACATTATCTAAAGACCTCATTTACATTATGTTACCCTTTCCAAATGATTGTGAAATACTTTGTGCAGTATTTAATAACACAATTATGCTTTAAAGTCATGTGTTTACAAATGTAAATTAGTTATATTGGTGAAAATAATATGGCAGTACTGGATCATAAGATATCTATACAGAAGATCTACAATATGCATATACTATTATTTTTCCATATTATGAGTGAAAACAAGGATAATTATTTTACCATTATGTTGGATTATGATGTTTATTTCCTTAAGTATGAAACCTACAGGTTATAAAGTCTAATATATTAGATTTGGGAGAGTATAAGATATGATGCTCTGGCTTCCTGATAACAGAATATAACAGAGAAGAGAAAAGATATATTTCCCTCTCTGGGGGTCATCTGAGGTTCTGCTGCTCCCAACACCTGCTCTTTGGCAATAGAGGAAAACATCTGTTATAGGCTGGTGTGTGTCGCACACCACTTTGGGATAGGGTACATCACTATATATTAGAGGGGCTCACAGTTTCTAGAAAACAAGGAAAAGTTAAGTGTGTGAGTATCATATGCAAGTGGTAAAATGACATCTTAGAATAGTTGAGGGCAAAGGCTGAAAGAACACATCCCTGCAGTCGAAGTGGCAGTTCAGGGAACCAGTTGCATGTAAGACAGGAAAGGAGTAGGTAGAAAAGAAGGAGGGCAATGCTAAGTCAAGTTTGTCAACCCTCATATATTTTTGTCCATATCCCACAACATATATGAGGTAGCTTTAATCTTAAACTATCAGTGAGAACAGAAGTTCTGAAAATGTATGGGATGCTGATATTCATTTACTCATTCACTTGTTCAGTGAATGGTTTTTTGAGCTTCAATTGCTGCCTGAGTTTCTTCAGGAGCAGAGGGAAGCATCAGTATTGATGGAGGATGTCACTCACAGCCTTGGCTGGAGGCACCAAGAAAAACACAGGTAAGATGGAGGTGTGAAAGGGCCCAGTGTTTCCCTCTGTTCGAGAAACTCCCTCTGGTGCCTAAAACAGGGTTGAGCTCTGCCCCTTTGAACACACAGCCTATGGGGGAAGACAAGGAGAAACAAAAACAAGCAGATACAAATACAATTACAAATTTTAATGAATTCTACGAAGGATAAAACTGAATATGGTACTAGAAACACAATTGAAGAGACCTCTCTCATAAGTGAATGATGGAGGGTTTTTCTGGAGGAGGTAACATTTGAGCTAAGATCTAAAAAGTGAGCCAGTCAGTAGGAAAATTCCTCAAGCATAAAGGAGCAGTGCTTGTTCAATGAACTGAAAGGAGACAGTGACAGCAGGAAAATAAGGGCACAGGCAGAGTGACTCAAAATGAAGGGTGGGAGGCAAGACATATATCAGGCCAGACAGGGCTTTGGAGCTACAAGTAACAACTTTATATTTTATTAAAAATTCAATGGTATTATGTGGGGGAGTGCTATGAATTTGCAAGATTGGAAATCAGAAGACCAACAAGGAAACTACAACAATAATTCAGATAAGACCTAATAGTGACTCACATTGAAGTTTTGGTAGAATGGAGAAAAGCAGATTGGGTTGAGTCCCATTTTGGGTGCTGAAATTTCAGCAGTTAAAATATTAGAAATGAGCATATCAAAGTTAATGATCTGGATTTTA